CTCTCTCTCTCTCTCTGCCACAAGCCAGTAGTGCCTTTCCTTTCCCCGAACTTCCTACAAGCTGTCAATTCTTTTCCTCTGAAGCATCTGAAAGAGTCCTGGTGGGGCAGGCATCAAAGGGTAGGAATATAGGGCCATGTAGGGCAGGGAACAACATAGTTTTGGGGCCTGAGATTGGGGAAAGTGACACAGTAGCTTCTCTGGCATTGCTGTTGGGACAGGACAGCGCCTAGGAAGCTGAGTCTAGAGAGTGTGTGTCAAAAAATAGCAGGGTTGCACAGCTGTTGTAACTGAGTTGGCAGCCTGGGAAAGGGGAGAGAAGGACAGATTTGGATCAGTTACTCATAGTGTAGATCTCCTGGATATTGTAGGAGAGCTGGGTTAGTCTACAGTAGCCCAAAATCAGGAGGAGTCTGGTAGCACCTTTTCAGACTAACCAATTTTATTAAAAAGCATAAGCTTTGGTGAACTACAGTTCACTTTATCAAGCTGACTTCATTAATAACATTAGTCTGAAAAGGTACTACCAGACTCCCACTGACTTTCTGATAGATCTAATAACTTACAGTAGATCATTAAGGGTTTTTGAATTCCCAGTGGTTCTAACTCCACTTAGGCTAGAGAGACAAATAGGTTTGATTCACATATTGTATCAGGCCAGAATGCAATTCCCTTGGTTTAGGCATAGCTACTGTGCCAACCCAGCCAATGGTGATTTAGTTAAGAAGCCATGATTAAATAAGGTACAATGAGTGAATGTAATCATAATCCAGGCTGAAAGAAAGTAGCTTTCACTGTTTCTGTGCAACGTGATGCTGCACTGTAATGCTTGAGCCCAAGTGATGGATGGAGAAGAGCCAGGTTGAAGTCCCAACTTGGCTAAGAACTTGTTGGCTTCTTGATCTGAGCCAAGAATATCAAGTCCAGATGGCCTGAGAGATGTAAATGCTAAGTTGATTCTGACCGTAAATTGACTCTGACCATAAATCTTGTTGCTTTTCATGAGTTTTAGGTTGACTTTGAGATTTGCTGTCTTGGCCCTGCCTCCTTTGTGGCAACCAAAAGTTATTTTAATCAGTGATGTCCAACTCATTGAATTCAGGCAACTTTTCATCACCAACTGCAGTGTTTTGCAGCCTTTCTGCCAACACGTGGAAACAAAATGAGCTGGGGGGGGGAGTGGAACCTGAGGACCTGATCAATATTGTCCTGTGGTGGACCAGCAAGACATGCTGAAGAAGGCTTTGGCCTGGCTAATGGGAGAGCTAGCCTTGCTGGACAAGATCTCCCTTTCTTCACTAGGCAAGCCACCCAGGAAATGGGCTTCCTGTTGGGATTGAGATGTCCTTGTTGAGCGAAAGGGAACAGAAGCTGAGGCACAGAGTGGCAGAAACAAACAAGGATTAAGAAACAAGAAGAAAACACACACACACAAGAATAATTCCAAATGGATGCCAGCAACTATAAATCCAGCCGTGAGCGGGAAGTCTGTTGTCGGCCAGTTTTACTCCATCTGTCCCTAGCAATGGAGGCGGCAAGGAGGAGGATAAATTTATTAAGCCAGTGTGCTTTGGATCTCAGTATGTCTGGATAGGCCCAGACTTGATAAATTTCAGAGAGCTTCAATTACATGCTGATTGTTTCCCAATTTTGGAGCAAACCCTCCCTCCCTCTCTCATCTCTCTCTCACACATTCAAATGCCTGCGCACGCATGCGATCCATACAAGCTATCTTCAAGCATAGCCGATAAGCAACCAGTGACTCTCACTGCACCATTATATGGTAACGGCCACTAAGAAAGATGGTTTGAAAGAAAGGTGGCTTTAAAAGGTGGCACTTAAACTGATTCAGGCAGACAGAAGTCTATTAGTGCTTATTGATCACGGCTATATGTTGCCTTCAGTTTTACGTGCAGGTGACTGGGGATCTGCAGTAGGCCAAAGGTGTTGCTTTTCTGCTGCTTGGGTGCACTCTTCACACTAAGCATGATGTGGTTCAACTGGTGTTGTGGAGCATGTTATACAGACTTGGCCATTGTGCTTTGTGGGTCCTGATGATCAGAGCCAATCCAGTTTTTCCAGAGCAACAATCACCCCAGCCTTTGAGTGATATGCCAAGGGGGGATGGGTCTCACCCATTCCAGAAAGGAGTGGGTGAGACCAGGATGAACACTTGGATTGATTTCATTTTCATCTACGTGCCATTAGAATGAAAGAGAACTAGTAGAATTACTATACAGTCATGTATGCAGTTATTTCCCTCTCTTACCACATTTTTTGAAAAAGTTAAAGAACATTTAGTGTATGGCTTAGAATATTTTGCAAACACAAACATTTGATTCTTACGTGGCAAAGCAGGGTTAGGATGAAAGTGAGGCGTGAACCCAGCATTGCTTTTGATCCAACTGGAAATTAGCATGACTGGCTCAGTTTGTGTCCTGGCAAAATCTTCCTATTTCTGGCCTCATGATGGGAGAAAGAAGAGAGGTGAACCGAATTCCATTCTGGAGTTTGAAAGGAAAGTAGAATGTCACATTTCTTTTTCTATCCAGTGTTGGAAGGAAAATATGATCTAACTCGGAGCAGGAGGCCCAGAGCTCTGAATGCATAAGGAGACTGCTTTTTGCACAGGGAAATATTTAGCCTGTTTTCTGTTTGTGGTGAAAAACCTTTCAGGCCACAAGCGAGCCAAAGGACGGGAGTGTTCCTATTTCTTTTCCTGTTGATTAGCAATAGAAGCCAAGCCTGTTAGCCAAAAGGATGTTTATTGAAAAGATTGGCTTGTGGAGTGATGCAGAACTGGGATGGGAAGAAGGGAGGGGAGACACTGCATACCTGGGCCTATCAACCTCCTTGTTTTTCTCTTGAAGGAAGTCGATAGATTGACCTTCCAGCAAAACAGATTCACGACCAAGCTTTTAAAAAATTATTACTATTATTTTTTGGACCTGTGCCTCTCGATTAGGACCCTGCAGACTTTTGAGAGGTACCGAATGCTTTCTTTGCCCACTGCTTTTGATCCCTCTGGACCTTGATAAAGCCACCCGCATTGGGGGGAGATGGGCGGGGGAGAAATTTGATAAATAAATTAAATAAATAAATAAAGCAATCTACGTGGCCATGATAGTGAGAAATACTGAGGTTTCAGGTTTCTCTTTTCAGCCTGATGTCTAGCTCCAAGTCAAAAAGTGTGGATCTCCAGAGAGGGGCTAACGTGCTCTGTAGCCAAAGTTTATTCAGTTGCTTCATATTTTCTGATGAATATAAAAATAGGTTTGCTGGTGAGTGTAACTTAAAAAAAAAGGCTGAGAAACAGTAGAGTTGGCTCTTCTCTTTCAATGTTTCTTCCTCTTTTTCCTGGCTGGGCACTCATATTTGTAGGGAGAAGTTTTAGTTCACAGCCCAAGTATTCCTGTTTGTGCAGCGGGACTTTGGATGGATGGCCTCCCATGCAGACGGGGCGTTGCCATTCCTGCGGTCCCTAACCAGCAGGGTTAGAAAACTATTTTGCTGTGGCTATTTTACTGATAGATTGATTCAATTTGTATAGCCACCCTTCTCCAACAAGGGTCCCTGGGCGGTTGTGGTTAACTGGGGGAAGACATTGCAATTTATTTATTTTATTTTTTTTGCAGATCTCTTTTGTTTTCCATAAAAGCACCCTTGACCTTACGGTGCCTGGGGTACTTGCCAGCTCAGCTTGTGAACTTATGTTGCTTTTTATTTCAACCGTGCGGATTCTACCCCTCTCCCATATGTCCTGACTAAGCATGATCTGTAGGCATTTGCAAACTGGAAATTGCCTGGTGGGCAACAGCTGGCAGAAGGGAAGCCTGTTGCAACATCCCTGGGCACCGTGGAGACAGGTTATCGTCTGCAAACATTGCAGAAAGTTTTCAGCACTTGCAAACATCTCATTGCCATAGTAACTGGCCTTTGTCCTCCCTCCCTCCAGGGCCAGCTGGGTCATTTCAGAATGTGAAATCGTGGGCCCAGCACCAGCTGTTCCAAGCGTGCTTTGCTTTCCTCCCCAATCTGTTTCCTTTCCACCTGGCTGCTCTGCTCTCCCCCCCCCCTTTCTCCATGCAGAATACCTTCCTCTCCAGCGGTTCCTGTTCCCCCCTCTGCCTTCTGCCAGATCTCACCCGTCTTTTTCTCAAAAACGCTTTGCATTCAGATAGATACACTTTCATTTTAGAATCTTGCTTCTCTGCAGCCTCCCTTTCTTTAAAGTTCCGGATGCTTCCCCCTCTAATTTTACTTTTACTGATTTACTTTTGATGCATTGGTTGTTGCAGCTGAAAGTTGCCATGGTGGGGACTTGGCCAGGCTCCTGTGTTGAATAGGAGAGAGAAGGGGACCAAGCACCCCATGATGTGTTTTCTCTTACTGACAGGGCAGTGATTTGGGGAGAGCTTACCTGTTGAGTTTTGGGGGATTGCTTCAGCTGAGAGGAGATGCTAAAACGGAAAAGTGGACAGAAAAGCGGTAATCCTATGGATCACAGCTGTTGGGAACGTGCAAGAAACAGGAAGGGGGGAAATGAAGAGTGGAAGTGCTCCTGAAGAAGTCCACAACAGCAGGAATATTGGGGGGGGGGGAATAGGGGTAGGGAGGAAAGGATTTGTGCTGTTACTGGCTCGCTTTTTAGAATGCATGCTTCATGTGACATACATGTGTGCCCTTATTGTAGGTATGGGTAAGACCTGTTGCTCCCAGATGTCCTAGCCAAATACGATCAGTAGTGAGGGAAGATGGGAACTGTGATTCAGCAACATCTGGAAGGCCACAGACTTTCCATCCAGCCATAAGGCCTGAACCGTTTGTTATTTCCGTAGTGGGAAGCCATATTTCCTAGAAGCCAACCAAAAGCACAGAATACGGATTGAGGAGGGTTTCACTGTTTTGTTGCACACTCCAAATCAAGAGCATCTGCTTTACCCCATCCAGGAACCTGACTGTCTTTTTTTTTTTTTTTAATCTCCCCTGGACATATGTAGACATGTGGATCATTCTTCCTCTTTGTGGGATCTTCATAGCAAGTTCAGCTGCAGGTAAGATCACATTTGGTCTTGAGGGATGGAAGTAAGACCCTCCCTCCCCCACCGCATCCCGTCCAGCACAAAAACACTGAAACATAAAGATGCCATAACTGAGTCCTGGATTTGGCTGGATTTCTCTCAATCAACCTTCTACAACCTCACGCTTTCTAGAGCTTATGTACAAAGGATGTCCTACACCTAAGCTTCTTAGCAGTTCCCCACTCCAAGGAAAGTATATCATATCTTGGAAGTTAGTTATAGAGGATACCCGTCGCTTGTCCTTCTGTACTTTTGAACTTCTGTGTGCGCACCCCCCCAATACAAATCATGATGACACAAACACGACCACATTATGCCTTGTGACACCGTGAGACAAATCCTGACCTTTCTTACTTCTGTCCAGACATCGGATGCAGGCATGGAAGTTACACAGTTGGCATTGCGAAGCGTTGTCCACTCATGGACCCCCGAGCCTGCATGCTATTGGCTTGTTGCAATTAATAGACAGCCTGCCTGATTGGGGATTTTGAGAATTGAAATTCAAAAGCTTAAAAAGTGCAAGTTTGTAGAAGGTTGATTTGATCTCTAAGGGAAACCAGGATATTTTTTTTCTCTGAGTCAATTTAACTTTATGTCGTGAAAAATCTTGGCTACCTTTGGGGTTAAGGCTATTCATTACTTGTATAATATTAATGATTGTGAATGAGTTGGTGAGGTTAAAAGTGAATTCCCGACTCCTCATTCAGAAATGATGGTTATAATTTTGAAAGTTCAGTTTTCTTCCCACATAATTAATAATGAAGTGTATAAAATACACAGACCGAATGGCTAGGTTCACATGTCATGCTAAGCCATGGTTTGTTTAGGCTACAATTAGCATGCATCATATCTCACTATAAACGATGGTTTATAAATGGAAAGGGCTACAGTTTGTAACATGTCCAAGTCAGCGTATCCAACGTCATCAACTTTCAGAGGTGTAGACTTCAATTCCCAGAATTCCCCAGCCAGCAGGACTATTGCTCAGAATTCTGGGAGCTTAAAGCACACATTAAGAAGCTAACAAGGGTGGAAAATCCAGTGCTAAGCCAAGCAGACTCTGTTAGGATTTAGATCAATGAGTAAAGTTCAAGCCACTGAGCCAAGCTTGCATGTGAAAATGATGCTGTGGGTTAAAACTGGGTCATCCAGAATCAGTTGTACCCCAGCTATCATAGAACAGAGCTACATTTCAATAAAACAAGCATGAGATCTCATTTAAATTATTTATTTATTTACAGTGGCTGACTTCAGTAGTGCTTTTGACCTCTCCTAGCTAGAATAGAAGGGGAGAACACCATATGTTCACCAGCATTCTCAGCTCTTCAGGGGCAAGACATGTGTTGCTGATTAATAAATCAGTGGAATGTATGTAAAGATAATGTACATGGAAGTAGTACCTGTTCTTCGGCTTGAAAACAACAGCTGAAAACAAAAATGTCTTAAGAACAGTAATCAGTTGTAAAATAGTAAAATATATTAGCCCACAGTGGGGGGGGGGGGG